CTTCAGAATGTTGTAAGGATTTTGGATCTTACGCTATGTAAAAGTATACTAATATTAAACTCCTTTTTCTTTATTTTAAAAACACTAATATTCAATTTTGAAGTAATATTCTTATGATCTTACATTGAACTGGGGTTCTAAGGTTCCTATAATTAATTCATGAGTACAGACATATTTTAGATGTAATTTATATACCATACCTATAAAGTGGCTATTATAAAAATTTTGGTTAATTTGGTTCAAGTAGGAAGTAGAACTAGCATCTTTGTCTTTTTATGCTGTGGAAAAAGGAAAGAAATTCTATTGCTTTTGAAGATTAAATTGTTGGTCTTTATTTTCTGTACAAAATTAAAACTTGTTAATTCGTTATAGTGTTCAAAAACTATAAAGTCAGTTTAATGCAATCAAACTTCACAGAATTTGCTTTTTAGAAGAATATTTCAAGATGAAAGATCTTAATAAAAATTAGATGGGTACCAACTACCGTTTTTAAGCTAGCTCTATTAGAGGTTCTGTTTTATAAGTGTTTAGGTCAGATTTTTAAACCCTTTAATCTGACATGTACATTGTGTGTGACCAATGGAATCCAACTGTGAATTTGAGTGTATTAAATAATCTTCAGGAAGTCCTGCAAAGAACATTTGAATGCCTTAAAATATGCAATAAGGCATGTTTGTTCTAAACACTTTTGATTTGCCTAGGTTTGGCCATCAGGTTGAAGAAATGCTAATCTTGCTGCATTCAGCAGCTGGCTTTGCAATATTCTTTTCCTTCTCCTAGGAGCTAATTAGCCTTCTTCCAAAATGTGGCCTATTTAGCCTTAGATTCGCATGATTCATCCAGAGTTGGCTGTACAAAACTGAACCCTTAGCAGGTGGGTGTGTCCAACTGCTTAATTAGCCAGAATAAAAACGTCCTTTGTCGAACAAGCATCTGTTGCTCATGACACACCTGACAGCCACATTAGACAAGGATGACTAGGCGGAAATTGTGCATGTCTCTCCTGTAAGAATATACAACTCATTTACATATGGGTCACATCATTGACAAACTGCAGGGGTTTATTTAGCTCATCAAAATGGGTTAATGTGACTACATTTGTGATTGATAAACAAATTACACTTAAAAGGAGGCTCTGAAGGGACTAAGCTAACCAAATTACTTCCAAACATAAACAGAGCATCAGAAACATCTGATGGATGAATGAGGACACCTTAATTTTTTTCAACTCTTGATCAGTGAATGAAGCAAATCTCCAAATGCACTGCCCTCCTGCACAAACGTTGGGGAGCCACCAGAATACTTTTAATGTGTCAGTAGGTTTAAAAACTTAACAAACTTTGGTAGGAGAGTTGTATTCTTCCAACATGCCTTACATTGTCATTGAGCTGCTGTTAAAATCATGTCTTTAGAACTGATGTGTTTAAACTGGGCCTGGAAAAATAAGTATTAGTTGGGCTTTATTATTAGTTCAGTAGAGAGCTACTTTATTAGTTTTGGGAACAGAGAGGTGGGATAGATACTCATGATTTCTAGAAGTATGAATTAAATACTTTGTACTCAGAAGTGCTTTTCTGACTATTTCTCCAGCTCTATGCAGTACACTGCTACAATGCCATACTCCACCACAATGTAGTACTCCACTACAATACAATACTCCACTACAATGCAGTACTCTACTACAATGCAGTACACCCGGTGGTTAGTATCATGGACTTTCAAGTCAGACAGATGTAGGATGAATTCAGATTCTTCCTCTTTCTAGCTGTGTGACTTTGAGCAGCTTTTAAAATCCATTGTCTCAGTTTCTTCACTTATTAGATAGGGGTTCTTCTGAGAATTAAACTAGCAAAAATACTTAAAGAAGTTAGCTTAACTACTATCTGGCACCAGGAAATAACTTGGCAAATGATGAACCTAATTACAGTTATGACCTTAAGAGCCAGTTTATGGAAGGGATATGTTGGAGATAAGATCTCTTAAGTGATGAGGCTTGCCATAGAAAGTCTCTTCCTCAGAGATGATGACGGTAGTGAAATTAGAGAATGAAGTTCTGTCTAAGAAGAAAACAAATCAGTCAATTAAACAAGCAAACAATGCAACAAAGCTAAGGGGCTGAATTGTTGATCTCTTGGCACAGTCATCTCATTCTGGAAATATGTCAGTCACATGAATAGAAACGAGGAGTAAACATAAGGTACTCAGGAAATTAGCCAATACTTGGGTACCCTAGATTGAGCTTCTTGTGCCAGTTTCAATGAAGTATTGACAGAGCCAGAGGCTGAATGGAATGTACTCCTCGACTCTATTTTTAAGTTTAAAAAACTACGATTTCTCCCTATTTTGTTTCCCCTACTTCTATTCTTTCAAGTTAACTCCTGTTGAGTAGTTGACAAATATTTCTTTCTATTGTCCTCAGTCAAATTTCACTACCTTATTATGAAACTCATTCCTCCTAGTGTGGACTTTGTGTGACATCCAAACCCTTCTTTCCTCTTTCCTACCTGTATGATAGTGGGTAAGTGACTTACTATCTCTGAGCCACTAATGACTCACCTATAAAATGAATAACATAATGATTAAATCATTAATGAAAAATATGAGCACACAAGGTTAGTCTTGGCAAAGCTTCCAGCCCTTTCTGCAGAAAACAGGGAGTGTTAGTGCAAGTGACTTCACTGACTTCCCTGCTCCTTTGATGGAGCAGCTTAAAGGAGAAGCAGTAGCTCTCCATTCTTACCTTCTTCATCTGCACACTAAATGAACAGAGTCTACCAGTCATCTTGGAGCTTGTATGACTGGAAAAAAATCTGACAGCAGATGCTATTTGATTATCTGTTTCATTCCTGCTGAAAAGCATCACCTCACATACACAATTACCTCCTTTGCTATAGCACTAATATAGTTAACAATCTATCTATCTATCTATCTATCTATCTATCTATCTA